TAAATATATATTTCCAATAAATATCTTACAGCTTCTATATACATTTTTAGATTAGTTCCAAAGCAGTGTAATAATAATAGTCGTCTCTTATTACATTGTTAATAAAATTTTACAACGTTTTATATAATATATACATAAATGTTTAAATACTTTTGTGGTACTTATGAAATACATATGTATATGTACGTAATATGAATGTACATAGTATATCAATTGGCAAGTTCAGCTAGTCGAAAATTAAGAAAAATGAGTTCATCATAAAAACAGTGGGAATTTGCTTTATTTCTCAATTTACTTGCTTTATTTCTCAATTTAACCAACAAGCATTTCCTTTTTAAACCTTGATATTGAACTATGGATTGTTTCGAGCCAAATATCTTCCTTTAGATTTTCCGAAAGCACATGAAATATGATGCCAGTTCTGCGCGATATTGACGAAGAATTATTCGTATTCGTAAAAGAATTCAGCGACAAATTAAAAGAATTTAATGGCAACAATGTTGTACCTGGATAAATTTCAGAGAAACAACAAGTCTCCACGTACTCTTGACCATCTACATATTGGCCCGATGCGTCTAAAGAAATTGAATTTTTCCCGAGTTACAATGCCTGACCAAGAAAAGATCCGAGGGAAAAGTGGAAGCCAAAGGAACGATTTCGTCAAGGAAGGATGTTTCAAAAGAAGACATCGAAACGAGCGGCTGAATCGTTCCCTTTCCACGCAACTGGCTTGCATTCCAGAACGAAGCGCGAACTCGGTGAAAAAAAGGAAGAGAAAGCGAGAGACGGGGGAGTATTAGAGTGAGCGAGGGAGAAGCTCGATTTTGTCGTTGTTGTCGTCAGAAAGACTCAATTTGTCGCGGCAATTTCACGGGTATCGGGTGCCAAGAATGCCGGCACTGCTGAAAGCTCGGCAATTGTTTTTCGATTCGTTCTAGTCTAGTTCCTTTATTAGACGTCCCGGGGCAAAAGGAGCCGAGGAACTGGAGTCGATTCGCCACGAATGAACAATTTGTCGAACACCTTTTGAGCTTTTCCTAAAGACATCTCCACCCGTCTCTCCCTCCCCGAGCTTTTCTCTCTGCCTTTCTGCCTTCTGCCGTTAGAACCTCTATCCTCTGTGTGTACGTACGTGTGTTTGCACGAAACATCGACACCCTCGATGTTGCTCGGTGTGCCGCTTTTCGCTTTTCACCGCGACGTGCTCTGTTCGTCCCCCTGCCTGTTTCCACGCTCGATATAGTACAGCTACATCTTTTGCCATTCCGTTTCTTTCTGCCGGGCGAAGCACAAAGCCGGCGAGCAACGTTCCCTTAAAATAACGCGAATCGTCCCGATAGAACTCGAATCGACAGCCTTCGCTGCCTTTCTCGGTTGACCTACAATCGCCGATTCGATTTCATTCGCGTTTTATTTACAAGGCGGAATGAAATATGCAGAAGCGCGAGTACGAATAAAACGCGAGAGGAACTTGAGATAAAGGAAATGTGTTTCCAGAGTACATATTATTGTTGCCATTAATCACTTAATCATTCAATCTACTTCAATTTAATAAATCTTCCTCTTGATTGATCTTCCTACGTACAGCGTTACACAGTGCCAAGTGAAGAAAATGAAAATTACGTGTCAAAATCAACTGAGCTGAGTTAAACGTGAGGAATTAATATTAAATTACCCTGTACACAAGAAATACTAGCTGTTCCTAAGTGATGTAAGAGAGACAGAGAAAAAGTCCAAGAGTTATTTAATTTGCTTGCGTACTTGCAAACTGCCACTTACCAGGATGAATGGTTCATTTTTTTATAACTGAACGCGCAAATATCACTCGTGTGTCAATCCTGCTTTCGTAAATATTTGGTTACACTTTTTAATGCGTTAATTAATGGGGTTCGACGTATAAAAGAGTATCAAGCTACGTATGTCGAAAAATTATTCATTTAGAATGTATTTTAACTTTAATTTCGTGTGACACGTCACGACGAAAGCGTATCATAAGCGTGAGGATTTAAGTATTGCTCTCTGCTGTATTCTCTTGTTTTCTATACAATATTTTTATACAAAATTGAAGTTGATGCATCTTCTAAATTAATTATTTTTCGACATGAGTTAATCCTTGTTTATAAATAACATCGAGCTACATCGATCAATGCATGTTTAAAGACACGTAATTTCATTTAAAAATCAAAGTTAATCTTCATGAATTATCGCACGTCCGTCCACGAAAAAATTAATACATCACTTTGAAACCTTCATTTCTACAAACGATGATAATGACATAAATCAAGCTATCTTGTAATCCCAAGTGAAACTGATACTAGCTGATACTTTTATCACTCGACTCGCGAAATGTCTCGAATGAAAAAGCAAAAATTCAATCAACGACGAGTCGAGTTTGCTCAACGTTACAAAGGAACAAGATTATTTCCACGATTCGATTTCATGGGATTTCCTCGAAGAAGTAGGGTAGAATCGGGACCGCGACAGATAGAGGGACGCTTAAATTCCATCGTATATCGGTATACGATATAATTTTCTTCTCTGGTTTCTGCCCGGCTACGTTTCGTTCCCGGATCATCGGTGTATCCGGTTTGATCTACCCATGGATCGGCGATCGATCAACGTCATTGGCCATTGTCGGATCCATGGGCCAGCGTTAAAGTCCACCGAACCGCTCCGAAAAGAAGAGAAATCAAGTGATTCTTTCGAGAGTGTTGCACGACAGAAACTCTTTCTGGAACAGCTGCCGGCGACAAGAAAGTAGCAGGAAGACTCCTCTTTTGGATTAGTCTTCGAGGGATAACGACCACGTCGAGGATCGAACAGTGTTTTGCGAAAGCGAGTCACGAACCAAGCCAATTATCGCCGAGGCTAATGAACCTATCGGTCGTGAAAAGAAACGAAAGAAGAGAAATCACCGGAATCTTCTGCCGATATTCCTCGACCATCTTTGTCCAACTTTGTCGCAATCTATCGGACCAACCTTTCTCCAAGCTTTTTCCTCTTCCACTCTCCCGGTTCTTTTACCTCTGCCTGTTCCTTTGCCTCTTTTGCGTTTCATTTCTTGCGTACTTCCACGAACGAGCAAACGATTATGAGCGCGGTATGTTGTAATGATAAAAGCCCTTGATTGTAGCTATTATTGTACACGGTAATTATTCGTGGAATATAATTCGTGAAATAATTTATTATTTTCTCAAGACTTAGTTATTTTTAAACCATTTTTCAAATATATACTTATACTTATAGTGTTTGATTGAATGAGGAAAAAGAAAATAATTGCTAGACATTCCCCATATCTTCATTGTAATTCATTATCTTTTTGCATTACGTTTTCTAATTTTATAGTAACGATCCCCACTGTATTTCGTCTGCTACAATTTCGTTAATAAAATTTCTAAATCAATACATGTACTTACGATTAGTAATATGTCGACCTTTTCTCTCAGCACATAATTACGTACAAAAAGAAAGCTCTTAAATGTTTTTTCGACACGATAATGTGCATAACAAACATTATTTTTCTTTTCTTTTTGTAAATTTTTGTATCCAGTTCTGTACCTTGATTTAATATCTTAATTTCGTATTTAATAAATACTATTACTATTGTCAAACATTTATGAGGTTGTAATATTTTTGAAATGTAGTTCGAATTTGCTTCTACTGTGTGCGAGTTGGCATACGCGCACTGCATACGAATTTTGAGCCTGGTACCTTCTCAAGGACGAAAGCACGATCTTCTAACGAACATTACCGCGCTAATTTACAATTCCCAAATGCGCTTTCAGAATTTCCGTTCCTTCCCAAAACTTCCGTGTATTCTTCGCCATCGTTGCGTAATAACTTGGACATTAATCCATTAAAGTACCATAATCTCAACTTCATTGCTGTTTTCTAAATCCTTCGAATGGATAATTGGTATTTATTGCTTTTTAAAGTATTATTCTCTTTTTTAAATTTCTTCAATTTTTAGTAAAAGATTCCCACTTTTCACTTGATTTTCTCTTCACGTACACGTTTTGTCTCGAAGACTTTACATTTCGTCTCATAGAATTCAAAAATTAGAACCACTCACAATTTTTATTTTCATTTTTTAATCTTCAATATTTCTAGTAAGATTTAAAGGCCTGAACGTAGTTTGAATAATTTTTGAATAATTTCTACTAATTATTAAGATACACACATACGTTTGCATGGAAATGTATATTATAGATAATAATATTAATTTTTCAATGATTAATAATTGAAGCTTCGAATTTTCCTTTGATTACGCGTATCTTTTTTCGTATGCATTGTTCTTTATTTTTGGATTTAAACCTATTCTAAATGGTGCATTCGTTTATTTACTGATCATTTATCCATTCCCTTATATAATAAACACTCACTAATAAAAAGTAATGAAACATTATGATAACATATTTTATTATTTGATTAAATTCAATCAAATTATTAATTATCAATACGCAGATTGAATTAAATTGAATTAAATTTTGTTTCGGCAACGTTGCTATAATAAAATCAAACAACGCGGGAGAATCGAATCAATGTTGCAACAAATGTTGAACAAATATATTTCGCTCGAAATGAGCAAATGACTCCCCGATAACTTACGAACGGAAGTATACGTCACGATCAACAGTGGAAAATTTCCTCCAAATTAATAGATGCTTTCATCGGATAACATCAAAGCGCGCGTACATACGCGCTGTTTCCGCATTGTCATTCCGGTGTTTATACCTCCGGAAGATTCCACACACAACCTCGCCCTTCACTCCCGCCCTTTCTCTATGTCTCTCTGTCTCTCCCTTCGCCCACATGTCGCTCGATACATATGAAGCGTGTGGCTCATATGCAGCTCGTATAATTACGTTGCTAGAATAATAACGTGGCTTCCTTTCACGTAGCCGTCGTCGCGTGAACGATTAAACTACCGATACGCACGTCATTGCCGCGATATCTGTTTGGTTATAAAGTCCAGGGCGATAAGTTAGTCTGCTGCTAAGCTATGATATCCGCGTTTGTAATTTCGCCGGCGACACCTCGCGCAGCTCGTTGAAACGCGAAAAACCTCCGTCTTTACCTCGAGTTTTCCTTACAACCTTAAAAGGATTAACCTTAGAACAACGAAGGGCCGCGTTATGTTCCTCATGATGAGAATTATTCATTCTCGCTTGTGACTATACCGAAAAATAATTACTCATTTGTTAACGTGTTCGTTTGTTTTTCTCTAAAAAGGTATTATTCATCCAAAATAAATGCTGATAGAAATTCAATTGTTTAATTAGTTGGAAGTATGTTATGCGAATGATTACGATGAACAAGGATAAAAATGACATCAAGCAGGATTGATCTACAGACAGAAATATGTACCTACGAATTTAACTTATGACACGCACGAAAAGGTATCTTCCAACCAAAATTATACCTAACACTACAACTACCATCGACTAAACTATAAAAAATTGTATCAGAGAAATCCGAGTGCAAGGAATATAAAGAAGTTTACAATACAATAAAGAACACACAGCTCTGTTCATGTATTTTACAAAAATCATTCAGGCTAGCATTGCAGCACTGCAAAACTACTTTAAAAAATTATAAATTTGTCATTTTGGCTAATTTGTTAGTTCTAGTGTCAATAAGCAACAGTTTGGTCTTCATCTAATGAATTTAAGATTTAGTACTCCTAAAGTTGAACCTTTGAGTAAATACATATTTACACATATGTGTATGTGCACATGCCTGATAAGAAGGCACCAATGGCACGTATATTCTTAAAAGACATTTTCGCGAGAGAATTTATTTATTCGATTTAAGCAGCTCAGCAGAGGAAAGTTGAAATTCGAGTGACTCGCGATGGTAATTTAATTAGAGGAACGAAGTTCTATCGAGATCAGAGGATAGATAACTCACCAACCACGTTCAGTTGAACAGAGTATCCGATCGGAGGAGTGGTGGATATTTGGCACTCGTAAATGCCGGAATCCTTCTTCTGAGGATATCGTATCCTCAATGTCCATTCTTCTGCGTGCGGCGTGTGCATCGCTTCGAAACGCTGGTCGCTCGTGTAAGTGTATCGGCCGATCGTCAGCAGGTGGATGTCTCGATGTCTTACCCACGATACCTGAAATCAATGGAACTATCATTTATAAATGTCTGGTACTGTTATCTTTTCTTTTTCCAAATTTAATACGCTATCAAAAGTTACGCGTATTTCTTATTACAGAGTGAAACGAGATTAATTTCGATGAAATTGAAATATCATCGAAACTATCGATCACGTCGAAAATTGTCTCGAATTCTATAAATGAGTACCAATCAGTGTAATTCATTAAAGGCAACGTAGATAACGCAAATATTCTTATTATCAAAATCTTAAGGGACAGTTTAGTCAATAATATAATAATTACGATATTTTAACTACTTTTGTCTGTAGAAAATGATTGACTACTGAGTTCACTCATACTGGCAATTTTCAACATTTTACAAGCTTTTAGCTTTAAAAAAATCGAAGAGTCTGAAATCAATTTATTAACAAATTTTATTAACTATCGAAGCGAATACATACTCTGACATTGATATGGATTGTGTATTCATCATCGATGCAATGTTCTTTTTCATTCTTTCTTCTATCAACTTCAAGTTAAACAGAATCTTATTTCATTTAACCCTACAGTCGCATAAAGCCAATAGTATCATTAACAATGACATTAATTCGCAAATAAATGTACAATAGATATTAATGTTAGACGAGTTTCGACAGATTTCGACACGTTTCAAGAGAAACAAATCACGCCTGAACGATATTGAACGTGACTTTCTTAGATGTTGACGGTACGAGCTGAGGCGAAGAACTGCTCGAACGAAATTTCTACACTGATTGATTGGCCTTCTTCTTACTCTTTCTAGCAACAAGTGCGCACACGTAAGGGGATTATAGCGGAGTGTAAACAGACTGTTCCACAAAGCGTTTCTCGGAATTGGTAATTCCGAGGAACGTTGACATTCTATTCGTCAACTATCAGCGAAATGTTGACGTTTTAGCCGATTTCATGGTATTCTCCGGTGGGAGGGGAAGGAGGGACGCGCGCGTGTCACGCAAACAAATCAATTGCCTCGACGGGGCACGCGTGATGTTTGACGTCTCGTTTATTGACTGGCCCTGGTCATACACGCCGATTTCGGGTTTCAAACGTTGCGTTACTCACGCTGCCAGAGCTCACAGACCTTTGAAAGGTAACGCTAACTTTTCGATATAATGGCGAAGTTCGACGTTCGACGTTCCGTTGCGAACGAGAGAAGCCAGAAACAGCACAGAAAATAAACGTGAGGTTTATTCCCCGAAAGCAGATCGATGACGGGAGATTTATGAGGTCCTGAAATGCGACGGCAGAAGCGCGCATTCTCGGCGAAATCGATTTCGACGGGGACTTTCTATAACTACTTCTGGGAGTTGACAAGACGGCAACCGGCAATCGTGATTGGTTCGAGTTTGGTAGAGAACACCAGACAACAGTAAGTCGGTCACGGTTATTGTTACTTGTCAATTGTTCTTTAGTATTACCACCTGCTAGTTCGTTACTGTTCTTTAATCCAACAAAGGTTCACGAGCAAAAATTTATGATGATATTAAGTAATTATTAATTTTCTTCGATTTTAAAAGGCATTGTAAAAGGCAGATGAGAACATATAAAGCGAGATTGTTTGCAAAAAATTGCAAATTAAATAATGTTTCACAGTTCAAGCATCAAACTTTTGTAACTTTACACAATATAATATATATTTCTACGAAAATGTTCGAATAGCTGTCTTAGAAAAACGTTTACCTGTTTACAATAAAAAAACATTTTGTAATTTCAAGAGATGACTATTACGATTATATTAGTAAAATTTGAAAGCAATCTGAGACTGTGTATAGAAGTTACAAGATATTTGCTGCAAACATGTAAGATGCAGATTTAATAAAAAAAAAAATTAGTATATAACAAACTTAGTGTATATTAATTATATAGCATGAGCTATATTGAATTCAACCACAACCGTATAAATCCAATATTTATAAATTAGTTGAATCATACAATTTACTTGAAACATTAAACATTTGAATGCTCGTTTTCAATTAATTACCATAATTGTCAAATAATTATTACCAACACAAGTATACACTTGAATATTATATATGATTGCAAGTAACGTATTGTTTCAATAGTGCGACAATTTATGTCAAACTTTCGTCCGTTATTCGTTCAGGAAAAATTTTTATATTTTTACTCTCATCTTTCACGTCTCATTTGTATGGGAAACGTGTGCTCCTGTAGCTAGTACAACTCGACTGAATTGTAAGTACACGTACACTTTTGCTAATACGTTTCAGCGATAGTGGTACGTTTATGTCCGGATGTATTACGACGACACATAAAGAGTCGAGATTTCTCAGCCTGGTGAAATTACACGAAGAAACTAACTGATTAAAAGACGATATTTTTGGTGAGAAAGGTTTTCTTGCCTCCTTGGTGCTCCAAGCGACTGTATTTGCCTTAAAAATTGGTCCCCTTTGCCGAATGCGCGAAAGCTCTCGCGACGTTTCAAAAGCAGGTGCAAACACTTTTCCCGAAAACGTCGGAGTTAATCCGAAGTGAGAAACGTGGCAGATTCGACTTCGGCATATTTGTGTAAACACGAGTGTGTGCGTTAGAAAGAATGAATAGTTGATTTTGTCGAAGTCAGAAACGTTGCAAAATGGATTCTACTTATTTATGTATAACACTTCGATAGTGTCCATGTCGATCTACACAGCACCCTTTGTCGTTTAGACGAAATAATTTAAATACTTTAATAAATAATTTAAATAATTTAAATACTTTAATAATTTAATACTTTAAATACTTTCAATAATTTAATACTTAAATAATTTAAATACTTTAAGAATTTACAAGTTACAAGTTTCCATTCTAAATACAATCGATTACATCTTCCATACTTTAAAATGTTAACCAATGAAATATTTGTCTGCTTAAGGATTTTTTTTTTCTCCAAAATTTTAAGCAGAGATGTACATGCATACGTAACCTATATATTAATTTATAAATGCGCCGGTACGAACAAATTTAAAATATTTGAGCTGCAGAGCCGCGCCGCGTCTCTCTCAATTTCACTAATGCATATGTTAATTCGTAATTACAGGTCTATATGATAAAATGATACTTTAAATGAAAATTAAAGAACACGAAATTCCAAAGAAACACAGAGAGACACTGCAAAATTTTCTTATTTGTAGATGATATACAAGTATGTGATAAATTTACAAATACCAGATAAATGTTTATTAAGTGTTTGTTAAATGTTACTGTTTTAGATGTAATTAATTGTATTTAGAATGAGCACTTGTAATTTGTAAATTCTTAAAGTATACGAAATTATTTATTTCATTTTTGTACTATCAAACGAGATTTAAACGCTGAGTTGAAGTTTCGCGAGAATGGTTTCAGATGGTCACTAGAAAATTCATGTATTTACATTATGGTAACTTTAAGTTTCCTAATAAAATATGTATGAGTTTAGGATGCCTTTTGTGTTGGCTACTACTTGTGCTAACTTCCAAATGATTTCCTATTCTGAAACTTATACGAATACTATTCTGCCTTCAACGAGAGTTCCAATGTTCAACAACACTGACATATTTCACAAGTAAACAATCTTTTTGATAATATTGCAATCATTCTTGTTTATATATTTCAATTCTTGTAAATTTCTTTTTCTACCACTATCATTTTGTGACTTATATCTCAGTTTTTTTATAAACTCTTGGTAAAAATTCTATCTTGCACAGAAATTATAACACGTGCAGAAGTTAATCATTATAATATCAAAATCATAATAGAAACAAAAATTCCAGCACACACATACTTATAATAAGTAGACACAAAGAGATTTATAGGTCAGAATTGTAATAATAAAAATCTCATTTTTCAATATTTTGTGAAACAGCTTCTTCTTGCAATGAATTCCTCGATTAATCACTCACATGAAAAATACAACAACATGTCAGCAAAAGTTGAAGAAACTTTCCAGTCAATGGTACTTTAATTTAATTCCGATTAATGAAAAATCCTTTAATTCCATTTTCCATTAATTATTTATTTATTATATCACAATTAAAAAAAAAATTCGTCACTCGTACGAGAAGTACTGTAACGTGTTGAAAGAATTGAGTGCAAAAAAAAGAGAAAGCAATTAGAATTGGAATTTCTGATAGAATGAGGCGAGGGACGAAATATCATCGTCAAGTTTCATAAATCATTAACCGCTAAACGATCGGTATCGTTTGTACATCGGGTATTATATAGAGATGGGAAATAGGCCGGATATAATGCCGATTAATTCTGATTTTCCAAAATCGCGTGGGGATCGCTCGAAAAGATTCGCGATGATTGCCCGACCGCAATCACTGAGCCAAATGACTGAGCATAATCTATGAAATCACGCTGGTAAAAACCATCGGAATTGCCATTCAAATTATGGGTCGATTCATCCAGTAGATTTCATTCTAATTAACAACTTCATCTTATGTCGTTTTGCAAGTTTCTTGTTAGAACTTTGCTGATTTACTTATCCCGCATCTTCGAATCCATTCCCCGCAGACTATAGTCGTGCAATGCCAACCGACTCGAATCTACAACAAGTAATTTGTACGCTCGATGGAAAATTTTCTACGTTTTAAATTACTAAAACTTGCGAGAGAAAATCGTAGAACGATCCAATTGAGCTTATTATTTAAAGCGTGAAACATCTACTTTCATAATCCTCAGTTTGTTCTCTTCAAAGATGTTTTTACCTCACTTTGAAAAGAGGCGAGTGATTCATTTATTAGATACTTATAGTACCTTAAAGTAAGATTTAATCAAATAATTGTTATACATAACTATCAATAACTAAAGAAATAATAGCGTATGAATATTTAAACAGAACATACTACGCGGATAGGGTGGGTCTTTGCAGCACCTTCACGTGGGCAATCGTTATTACTTGATATATAGTTACTAATTGCATTACTATATAGCTAAATAATTAATTATGTAACTGATACAATTATTAATTACATGGCAATTAATACGAGTTGATCAGCTGCGATTTCAGTTAGATGTTTGCGTAGAAGTGTATATCCATTAGATTAATGAAAAATAAATAATATGTAGTTTGTAAGCATGTGGAAAATATTTCATCCGAATTCTTATATTTTACTTAATAAAAATATTTTAGACAATCTGGAATTAATTATTTCTTCTACAATGATTATTTCTATAAATGAGAGGTTCTTTCTTATTCTTTTTAATTCCTTCTTTTAATTATATCATAACTTTTGATGAAATTTATTTAAGCTGTAGACAAAAGCACAATGTCTGCATCATTGATCTGCTCCTTCAATTGTCACTTTTATTCTGATTTAAAATATAATTTAAATCAATGTTGCACAATTCTTCTCTACAATTGTCATTTTAACCAATTATTTTAACTAATTATTATCATGTCAAGTGTACAACACTAATCAAGCTTTGACGCCGTTATTTGCTATTTTATTTAGGATAAATCCAGATTAGAGGTGAAAACTTTCACGATATATT